TCGAAAAATGGCAATTTTGGGCTGTTGACACAGTGTAATCGATTACACTCTGCTAATAATCGATTACACTCTTCTGGTAATCGATTACACACTGCTGGTAATCAATTACATCGTATTAAAAGCATCAGATATGTGCATCAGACACAGTGTAATCGATTACACATTGCTAGTAATCGATTACACATTGCTGGTAATCGATTACACATTGCTGGTAATCGATTACACATTTCTGGTAATCGATTACACATTTCTGGTAATCGATTACACATTTCTGGTAATCGATTACACATTTCTGGTAATCGATTACACATTTCTGGTAATCGATTACACATTGCTGGTAATCGATTACACATTGCTGGTAATCGATTACACATTGCTGGTAATCGATTACATCGTATTAAAAGCATCAGATATGTGCATCTGACACAGTGTAATCGATTACACACTCCTGGTAATCGATTACATCGTATTAAAAACATCAGATATGCGCATTTTTCACGTTGTAATCGATTACACCATGTTGGTAATCGATTACAACCCGACGACACCTCTTTAAAACAGAAACCCAAACACATTTTAGGATGAGAACATCGAAGAGAAGAGAGAGAGGAGAGCTTTTCAAGAGCAAGGAGCCTTAGGACTCATCTTAGAGCTTGAGAAGAGGTAAACCTCTTGTTCCTAACTCTTCTTCTTCCTCTCTAACTTGTTTTGGGTATGTTGGATTTATTTTCAAAACATGAGAAACCATGGAAACTCATCCTTTAGAGTTATGGTTCGTTTTATGTTGTTTTTATCTTGTAAACTCTTGGTTTAGAGATAGTATCTTAAGAATGGAAAGGGTTGTGGGTTGATTCATGAAAACCCAAAAAAAAAACCTAAAAGTGAAAATGTGGTAAAAGGAGAGAATGAGTAAAATGTTAGAGGTAGAAGATGAGTCTACCCCCAAATATTGAAATATGAGATGTTATGCATGTTTTAGATGGTTGAATATGGATGATGAATATTTTGTATGATTAAATGATGCAAAATAAGTTGTTTATGTAATATTTGGAATAAATAACTAACATTGTGTTATGTGGTGGGATGAGAAGAGAGATCCTAAGGTTGGAGGTGGTGTCGGTAGAATTCGAGAAGTTGCCAAGAACCGAACCCCAATATTCACCGAAGTAAGGATAAGTCTTTAATTGTGCATTTGGAATAGAAAATGTAAGTATTTTCTGGTTATGCAATGATTGAGTTGTGAATTACGCATTAGTATAAACATATATGGGTGTGTTTATACTAAAGTAGGCGTAGATTTACGGAAGATGGAAAACGTGTGTATTTCTGATCATGCAATAATTATATTATGAATCACGTGTTTAGTATAAACATATATGGATGTGTTTATACTAAAGATGGCGTGGATTTACAGGCAATGGTTGATAGTGAAATCAATGAAAAGGAAACGTATTTTTAGCCGACCATAAATGGTTAGCGACTTTGGCTCAAGTTATGTAGCAACACTTTGGCTCAAGTTATGTAGCAATGCTTTGGCTCAAGCTATGTAGCAACACTTTGGCTCAAGTTATGTAGCAATATTTTGGCTCAAGTTATGAAGCAATACTTTGGCTCAAGTTATGAAGCAATACTTTGGCTCAAGTTATGTAGCAACACTTTGGCTCAAGTTATGAAGCAATACTTTGGCTCAAGTTATGTAGCAATGCTTTGGCTCAAGCTATGTAGCAACACTTTGGCTCAAGTTATGTAGCAACACTTTGGCTCAAGTTATGTAGCAACACTTTGGCTCAAGTTATGAAGCAATACTTTGGCTCAAGTTATGTAGCAATGCTTTGGCTCAAGCTATGTAGCAACACTTTGGCTCAAGTTATGAAGCAATACTTTGGCTCAAGTTATGTAGCAATGCTTTGGCTCAAGTTATGTAGCAACACTTTGGCTCAAGTTATGAAGCAATACTTTGGCTCAAGTTATGTAGCAATACTTTGGCTCAAGTTATGTAACAATGCTTTGGCTCAAGCTATGTAGCAATACTTTGGCTCAAGTTATGTAGCAACGCTTTGGCTCAAGCTATGTAGCAAAACTTTGGCTCAAGTAATGTAGCACAAAAATGAATTTATAAAACAAATGGTTTATTAACTCCTTTTTCTAATGTGGATTATCTTATAATGACGTTTATTGAATTAATGACTTACTCCTTTGTGTGTTTTGTCCTTTTGTCATTGATAATCCCATTGCAGGTAAATAGACGAATGAAGTATGCCAGGTCGGAAGATTTAGGAGCTTTAGACTTTGGATTCACTATTTATGTTTTTCGTATTCTAAATGATTACCTGCGGATTTAAATGATTGTAATCATGACTAATCATTATTTGGATATTTGTAACCATGCGTAATGTTATTTTGGAGGATCAGAACCTTTGAGGTCTTAGTACTCATAGGGAATGATATGAATGAATTATGTTTTTCTACAAGATTAATTGTATGATAATATAATAGGTTATAAGATTAGTTCCAGGAATGATTCATGAGAAGTTCTAGGTAAAATGATTATGTATGTGGTTATTGATTCATGGATTAAGTGTGAGGAGGGGAAATAAGATTTTGAAGTAAGGATATTAAAATGATAATGTGAGTTATGAGTGATTGAATGGAATTGAATTAAAATGAGAAAAAATTTCAAGGGTAGAATTTGGGTGTTTACACTAAGAACTGATGTATATGTCTTTATCAAATCTCTTTTAGAAAAGGAACTTGATCACTGATTATTTTGTTTATGGATGAATGACATGCATGTTGTATGAGGTATGACTTTTTGTACATGCAATGCATGAAAAATGCCAAAATATCTTTATCTTTTTTAATGCATATGAAGCGCATGAATTGATTTTTTTTTTGTATTTTAGGTAATGTATGAAATGCATGACATACTATTACATGAAATGCAATGTTTGTTTTTTATGTAATATGCAGATGAATGCATGATGATATATATTTTTTTGTATGGATAGATGAAGGTGTTATTGATGGGTTTTTTCACTTTTTGAATGCATGTATGAATGTGTGAATAATATTTTTGAATTTTGATAATATATAATTTTGTATGAATGTTATGATGGTGATTTTTTTTCGATGAATGATTGAATAAGTTGTACTGATGAATGTATGAATGGTATGCATGTACACGATGCACTAAATGTATTTTGTACGCTCGTAGGGTGTGATAGACCCTAATTAGGGGAATATGGCCTTAATTTACAATACATTAAATTGTCATAATAGATTTGACATTTATTATATTGTTAAGGCATGCTCAGAGTTAAACGGTAAAACCCCGAGTTTATTCAGATATCGGAAAATTGATCCCTAGGGTGCTTAGCCCATGGTAGGGAATAAAATTTATCCCTAGGGCACATAGCCCATGGTAGGGATTAGAATTGCCCCTAGGGCGCATAGCCCATGGTTAGAATTGTCCCTAGGGCACTTAGCCCATAGTAGGGAATCATATGATTAAGCCGTCCTTGTGACATAAGGACATCTAAGTGCAATGACATCTTACAACACTCAAGCATGAACATTTTTATGTGGGACATAAGTCCCAAATTATGATGGATAAAATTTAGGTTATGTTTCTTGTGTCCTAAAAAAAAAGGTATACTTACAAGGTTTTTGATAGTCTAAAGGTCATAACCCTACGGCGAGGGAATATATTTCATCTAAAGTGGACTCAACAAAAGCCTTAGACTTTCTAGTTCACCAGATCGCATCCATTCCCGAAAGAAAGGAAACCAAATATCATGGGCTAGAAACGAGAAGGATCGAGCCCTCCAAGCCAATAGTTCATGATACCGGGAACCATCTGGGTGGTCCATTCCGCTAATATCAGATGTGACTCGAGGTCACTTACCGACAAAGCAGATGTCCCTTCTATCTTAAATCATAATCACTAATACCCGGGTTTATGGCAGTATGTGTGCAACTTGAGTGTATTGTGATTGTGTGTGAGGAAGCGTACAAATCTTTTTTAAAAAGGATAAATTTTCATCCCAATAAAGCTGTTAAAATAATCAATCACATATCAATAAATATATAAAAGGACACATAAAAACAAATGAATCAAAGCAATAAAAGAAGGGTATTTGAGTCCATGTAATTAGCGGCTCTAGGCCTGACTCTCTTATGGGTTGTCCCCAGTGGAGTCGCCAGTTGTCGCGACCCGATTTTCGGTTGGAAGACCGGCCCTGCGACTTAGGGAGAGGCGAACTCGATTTCTACCTCTTCCATTTGTTTTGGAGTCGCCATTACGTTTTTTGCGGATAAAACGTAGAAAACTCTAAATATGCCCAATTAGGATAATTTGGTTTTTGAAAAGAGATTCTGAGCTCGGGAGTCGATTACGGATCGGGGAAGGTATTAGCACCCCGTCCGCCCGTATTAAAACGGTACCCTCGCTATAACATGAACTTTTATACCCTTAACAATTATTTATTAAAATTCAATAATTAAAGCAAAATGTTTTATTTTTTATTGTTGTGCCTGACAAGAGTTCATCTTGCTCCTACGTATCTCTAGGTGCAATAGGGAAATCAAGGCTACATAGTTCTGGTTTGAAAAGTAATTAAATTGGTTTGGATAGTTTTAAAATATGCTGAAGTACAATATGATTTTTTTTCTAAAATACTTTTGATAAGGAATTAATAGTTTAGAGTCGGTGTTGGTCGCTCACCTTCTTCCCATTTTCAGAGAAGTCAGAGTCAACTCGAACCGTAACCTTACTATAAACATTCCATTAAAATTCTTTTAAGTAATAATAATTATTTGGAACATTTTTTGATATATTAGATGAAGATAGCATGCATTATTTGATTGTACCACTACCACTATAAATGAAAATAAGTAAATAATAAATCAGGTGTAATGTATATAATAAAAAGAACAAAAAAAATGAATTAAAATTAAAAGAAAGGTGGGTTATTCGGTTTGGGCCCAAACAGAAAACTGGATTGAAAGGGAGAGGGGTTAGGTTTATTCCCTTCATTGTGGCTTTGGGATTTTGGGATAGTGTAGAAAAGGGAAGTGAGAAGACGAGAGAAAATCGCGGAGGTGGGAAGACGAAGATGGGTTCTTCGCGGTAGGGGTTTACTCCGGTCTTCTTCTCCGGTCCTCCTCCATTGCATGCTTCTATTTCGAGCCATGGGATTCAGAATCCCTATAACTATTTCCTATTCTTCCGGTCTCCTTCTTTTCGAATAGTGTCAAATAGGTATGATCCCCAACCAATTTTATCTCTTTCTTGAGCCCTTTTTGTGCATGATTTCATGATTGTTTCGATCTAAGACCCGAAGCATGAGTTATACGGTGGTAAACTATACTCATGGTTGTTGCTTTGTTTTTTATGATAGCTGTTTATTCTTGCGCGTGTATGTTACCTGGTTTGTGTATCTTGCTTCCCTTTATTGTTTTCGAATCAAAATAGAACTAAGGGTAAAATTCTAACACTGAATATTATTGATAACTATGAATTTTACAACAAGAATCGATTCAATCATCATGTGACAGGTTTATGTAACATATAGACCGTTTTTTGATGCATTACTGTTCTCATGCTTAATCCAATATACATATATGCATTCCAATATAATGATGGTATGAATTTCTATTAGAATCTCATATGCAATTGAAAGTCAATGTAAAGTCTTTTTATAAACATTCAAATAAATTGGATGAATCACTTACCTGGGATTATGCTTTCGTCCTTTGTCCCTGATTATGAACTCTTGAATCCTTTCCAGTCCTTTATTTGACCTTACTGCTGACACTTACTGACCCTTCTGTTATAATTGTGTATTATTCTCTGGAATCCGTATGATTTATAATGGATGCTCTCTGGGTGTGTGGTCAAGGTTCTTTGATCCTCTATTATTTAGTGATGAAATTATGCTAGTAGATAACAAAATGTCAGTGTATGCATATCTATGTGTTTTGTGTTTCTATGATGTCTTGGTATATCCCCTTTTAGGTGTATGTATGGCTGCCTTTTTATAAAGGTTAAGGTTCATGAGAAGAACCTCTCTAATTTCTGATTTGAATCCCCCAATTTATTGTGTTTCAGATTATTCCATTTTTTATGTTGATTGTCAATCTTGGTTTTAATGTTCTATTGCATTAGTTGTCTCATTGAATATGTAGTTGCCTTATTAAGACCATTTTTTGATGCTCTGCTCATAATTTTCAACTATTACTTTAATGGTAGTAATTATTGTTGCCTAATTAAGCTTAGTCCTTAATATACATATATTTGGTGCCATCTCTTTTGGGATTATCTTGATGATTTACTGCCTTTATTTAGTGTTATTTTTCTGGAATCTTGGGATTTGATTTGTTTTCCTTTTTGATTTCTTCTCATGATTTGGTTTTTTATTTCCAGGGATTGAGCGTTGATTTGCTTTAAACTATAAGATATGGTGGATATATAACTTGGGAGATCTTCTCATTTAAGGCACTTGAAGAACATTAGGGGTGGGAGGTTTAGTTTCCTTTTTAAGTGAATGTATTATGCTCATTTTTAGCACCAAATATTGTTTATTTAAAACATTGTTTTCAGACAATGTAAATTACATTTTTGAATTTATTTACTATTTATTATCACTTTTTTAGAATCTATTTTGGGCCGGACAAAATTGAGTGTTCACACATACTAACTGGTTTAAACGGTTAAACCATTTAGTTGAATCGGATAACACCATATATATTACACATTTAAAAATACATATAAATTACAAGTTAATAATGGATGGGGTGAGACAAGATATGATTTCATGGTTTATTTCAACACATCCTTTCAATTTTTGGTTTTTTTAATGGGAGCTAAACAGATAATTATAACTTCAGTTTGTTTAACAGATAATTTCAACTTCACTTTGTTTTTATGTTTTTAGAATATTATTAGTTTAGTCTTAGTTTCAAATTGTTGTTAATATTTCTTTATTATTATCTTTATCCTAACATAACTTTAGGAGATTGTTTTGTTTAGTTGTTACAACAACCTCCTTTCCTTATTATTATCTTTATCCTAACATAACTTTATCAGGTTTTTTTTTGTTTAGTTGTTATAACAACTTCTTTTCCTTGTATTACTTTCCTATAAAAAGGAAGTCATTAATAATTTAATAAAATAAATTGAATTGTTTATCTTATAAGGCCAACCACCCAATTTAAAGCACTTCGACCGGGCTTGCAGCGGTTTAAAGCAGACTGACTGAACGGTTTTATAGCTTATATGAAATTGTTCCCCTATTTGGTCTACGATTAGCCCTTAGGGTCCGATTCAAAGAACATTGGGTAAGACATCACAGATTTATCACAGTGTGGACCTTTAATTTCAGAAATTGGACATTTTTTCTTTTTTGCCTTTTAGACAGCCAATGAAGTTGCACATCCCCAAACTAAAAGCAGTACTTGTTCCAGTAATTCAGCTTCCTTGACTTGTTAAAGTCATTTATTCCCTGAAAATAAAAACAAACATGCAAGATCTTTACTTGATACATATAATGTCATGCTTTTTCTATAAAACAAATAGGTGAACTTCACCCTGTACACACCATCATTCCACACAATACTTCCACTTCAGGTGTTGTTGTTGTTTTTTGTTTAATCAAGGGTATCCCCTCAACCTATGGTAAGGAAACAATCCTTTTCGGGATATGTGGCTGCTTGCACCTCCAACAAATGTCGCTCCCAGGAATCGAACCATTGATTTTTAGATCTATCTGAGGATCCAGTGGAACCTTGCACCGCTAGACTAATGCATCCCCTCACCCTATGGTAAGGAACCAATCTCTTTCCGGGTACGTGGTTGCATCTCTCAACAAGTGTCGCTCCCAGTAATGGATCCATTGATCTTTAGATCTATCTGAGGATCTAGTGGATCCTTATACCACTAAACTAACGCCTTAGTACTTTAGGTTTTGTTTGCCATAGACTATGTGGTGAAGCTAATATTGTAAGATAGCTTCGGGAGGTATATGATCAACTTTGACAGAAGTAACCTATAGGTATATGATGTGGAAAGATTTCACAACTACAGAGTTGAATCAATGGAACTACCCACTATGCATATCCTGCTTATTAACAGTACAATTTCCATGTTCTTTTACTGCACTAACAAAATCAGACATGACACTAAGCACTTTTAGCCCTTAACATGCTAAGCAACACTCTCATTGAATATCTAAAGGTTCTATTTAACTTCTTATAGTGCAATACATGTTCTTTTACAAATGTGGAACCAGAAGTATTAACAAAATAAGACAGCATCTACATAATTAAGAAAAAAGACAGCATAACATAGTTGTTTGTCATGGTAAATACTCTGTCCACTCCAGAGTATCATATAATTCCTAAGATCAATGGATCCCATAGTATCAAATACTTGACCAGATCAACAAATACTAAAACAAGGATGTAAATACAAGACATGGAAAATAAAGATACTACAAGAACACGAAAATACCACAAAAATATAAAATGTTTTAGAACTATCTAGTGATTCAAATTGCAGACCGTATCACGTGATGCAGCCACTTACAAAAATATAAAATGTTTTAGAACTATCTAGTGACTGCATCAACTTCAAAAACATATTTTTTTATTACAAAATAATTCACATCCGTATCGCTATCGCAGCGATCACAATAAATGCAATAGCAACGGTGATTTAAAATACTGTATGTATCCAAAGTTATCTAATATAGATATGCCACTTACACACTCCATGGTGACTATGGGGAATTGTGTGTATCCATAACTAAAACTCTTAACAATAAAGGGTAGCTTAATGCATGAACCACCCCTAGTAAGGTCTAGGTAAGGTTCCCTTAAAAAGCAAAAAGTTATTTCAAGGTTTTAAACTTGTTACCCCCATCATTGAATGAGGATCACCCTCTTTTAAATCAGTTGCAATTGCATTCTCTATACTAGCTCAAAAGTTGTTAATTCGACTGATCCTAACTGTTCTACACAGTGATTTAAATTGCGGACCGCTGCAACCAATCGCAATTGCGGTGTGACTCTGAATTATAATGAAGAGACCACATCGGCCCGCAACGCAACCGTATCGGCCTGCAACGCAACCGTATCGGACCGCGTTTGGATCGCATCGGACCGCGTTTGGATCACATCAGGTCGCATCGAATTCAAAAATGTTGTCTTAATAACAAAATAATTCACACTACAACGGCCGCAATCCGCACTACAATAACCGCAATAACTACAATCGTAGTAACTGTAACTGCAACTGTTAGCGCAATCGCGACCGCAATTTAAAACACTGGTTCTCCTATACAAAATAACAAATATTTTTGCAGTCCATATAAAATAAAATAAAAATTTGTATGATGTCTAATCCAAATATACACTGAATGAATACAAATTATACTAAACTCTCAATTTACCCAAACTGCCCCTAGAGAATTTTAGCAAGTGGTCCATTACATTCATTTTGCACTTCCTCAGCGAGGGCAATTTCGTCAAAACTCTTAAGCCCATTAACCAAAACCCTAACCACATATTCATCTGGTTCAACAACACTCCCCCACCCACACTTCTTCATCAACCCATAAATCCTGACCGTTGATTCTCTCCTCTTAGCTTCAATCACAACCTTCATCAAACTCACCAAACCCTTATAATCACCACAATCAATCTCACAATTTTCTTCCAAATCAACGATGAAATTATCCAGATCCAACAACATATCGCAATTCGAGAGCGCCTTCGCAATTTCAGCGTGGAGCGTGAGATCAGCACCGTACTCTGATCGGAGCGTGTAGAACACGCGGAGGGCGAGGTTGCAGTGTTGCTGCCGTAGGAGCTCCCGCAGGGTAGCTTCGAGGTCGGATTTGATGAGGCGCGTGAGGGTGGTGGAGAGCACGTGGGTTAGGTTGGGTGGGTTTGTTCGATAGAGACGTTTTAGGGTTTGAATTGTTTGCAGTGATTCGGTGCT